GACTCGTGAATTGTTCCAGAAGAAACCCCAGAAGGATTTGGTATATAATAATGCTCCTGTGCCAAAGAAGAATAAATAATAAAAATAGCTCTCTTGTTCTGACACAAGAAAGTACATTTTCATTGCTATAGCATCAGAAACAGACACTGATGTTTCTCTTGATCTTTGAAAAGAAAAATTAAAACATGCACGACCATAGATAATTTTCCACCATTATTTTCTTTTTTCTCCTGTATAACACAAATAATAAAAAAAATCAGAGACAGATATTGGGGTTCAAGCTGAAGATCAGAACAAAGTAGCCAAGCTAATAGTTCTTACCTCTACCAAGCTGAAATGGCAATCCTGTCTCTACGAATCATCAGAGACAAAACTCCTCAATGCTCTACACAAATCCTCAAAGGCAAATGCCTCCCTGTCTGGAAACTAAATCTCACATAAGACCTTTTGTTTCTTCCGTTTATACCACCTAGTGCTGAGATTAAAGGCATGATATCTGTTATTGTTTTTGTCTGATTAACTCTTGTGTAGCCCTGGGTGGCCTTGAACTCACAGAGATCCTTCTGCCTCTGTCTCCTAAATCCTGGGATTAAAGGTGTGTGCTACCACTATCTGGTTTCTAGGGCTAGCTAGTATGGCTTCTGGGATTAAAGGTGTGTAACACCACTGCATGGCTCTATGGCTGTGACTAGCTTTGCATTTTGATCCCCAGTGGCTTTATAAGATGATAAGTATATCACCACACTCCTGCAAGATAAAATATAGCCTTAAGATTTCAGTTTAAGTCAACTCACTTCATCATATTTCATATGCACACATGCACACACAACTTTACCAAACAACATATTTGAGAAGTGATATACAGTTAGCAAAATCTTATGTTATGCAAAGTTAACTCATCTTTTCTCATCATACCTTCCATTTCTCAAAATTCCAAAGCAGAGAAAGTTTTAGTCAGTAGAAATTACTTGCTGCTTCCCGAATGCTTGCTTATACATCTATGCTTAGAAAATCACTGTAGATGATGGACCTACTATCAAATAATCTTCCCTCCTGTTCACCTAAAAAATACCTCATCATGTTAAAACCAGAATACTTATTGTCACTCTGTGATACATGCCGTGACAGTCCATCCATTCTTCAACAAGCTTTTTTGATACTACCAAAGCAAGCTAAAGAACTGACTACCAACAAACAAAACTAAATTTCTGTCTTTTAGACGAATAGGAGATGTTCTGTATTAAATTCAGAGCTGTGAGTGGTAGAATAGACCAAGAATGCAAAGAAAAAGTTTTCCAAGTCTTTGTAAAAGGCAATAGACTTTTTCTGTAAAGCTTGCACATACTCATAATTGCTAGCACATTTTAGAATAATCATCTATGTGCTGTCAGTTCAGGTAGGCTGATAGATGCCAGATGCCAAGGCAAAATAAAAGAAATGTATTATGCAACATTATATAGTTATATAAAAGACCCTGTAATGTTAAGAAGGTATTGAATAAAATATTCTTGTATGTGCATATGTGAACATATATATATATATATGATATTTAGAGTATACTATTAATATGCCATACTAATAATGTAGCACTTTAGTCTCATCAGGTTTAAGATTCCTGTTAGCCATTTGCTAACTATATAAAGTTAAAATCATTACCTTTTGTTTTTAATTAGGCTTGCTTGCATGAGCATATTTGGGAGGTACTGGAGCATTAGCATCTTATCAGTGAGCATACCAATAAAGAATAAGGTTTTCCTCCTCCCAACCACTATTAATTGCCAATAGTCCCTCTGAGAAAGGTTGGGCCTTGTGAGCCTTTCCCCCTCCCATTGTGAATGTTGACAGGCTTATACTGGTCCTCTGCCGAAAACCAGGCTGCAGGGAATTCGTGGCCCCCTATTTACCTTTATTTTACATTTACCTTCTTTTTTATTTTAGTTTAGAAGCAAAAGTGGTCTAAATCGCCCTATTTAGAACACTAAATCAACCATTCTGTGAGAATTCTGATTTGTGCCAGACAGATGTCATTATGACTATATGATCAATGTTAATTTAATAAGAAATATAATTATAAATGATATGAGAATGAAAACAACCTATTACATTTTAAATATTAATTTTATTTTCTTGTTGGTAGTGTTATATAATTGTCCACTCATTCAATAAATTTGTGAGAAAAAAGAAATGTATTGCAGATGAAGAAATGTATTGTGGGTAAAGTTTATGAAACAAGGGAAAGAAAAAAAGTACAGACCAAGCATACTATGTTTGTATTTCTAGAAGTTTCCACAATGTCCAAATGAGTAGAGTCCAAAGAATAACAAAATGACAGTAAGTACAAGGTTGTAGGTTAAACATTATGGATACAAAATGCATAAAACTTACTACTGATTTTATTATATCAATCTTGTGAAAATACTATTGAACAACAAAACCTGAGTAACAAAGGAAACAGGACAAACATATTACTACTAGACTATAACTCTCACATAGAATCATCCTTATGGCAATTAGAAAAGTCTGTCAAATTCTAGCTTCCCCAAGACATTTTTGTAAGAGTCTTGTTAATCTCCAGAGAAATTAACTCAGGAATGTGTTTAGCTCATTCCAGAACATCTTTAGAGGCTTTAAATTATAAAGAAGCTACTCGGGGCTAAGAATACTGAGTGTGCAGCACTCAGTACCTTTGCAGTCATTTTTTACAGGTGATTTCAGAATGTTTTGTTGATCTTCCATAGTTTAAGATGACTCAGATCACAATATAAGTGATGCAAGATAAAATTTTCCATAGGCAATGAGTTTCCAAGGATAACTGGAATTCAAAGGTCCAACTGGTCCTTAGGATAAAAATAATTTAAAAATATACTCCTGAAGTCCTGGCAATTCCTGAACATAGTAACAAGGAATTCACTAAACTTTTAGGGAATGATTGTCAAAGATTGCAATTAATATAAACATTTGTGCTTTATTAATATGATGGGCTGGGGTATTTTGACAGTGCTTGAAAATGAAGTTAATTTTAATCATAGTGGTTGCAGATATATAGAAGGTGGGCAATATAGAAGGTGTCAAAATAAATAAAGAGTTCCTCCAACTGATTTTTGAAATGTCAAAAGGGCACACTGGAGAAAGGACAATCTTTAGTAAAGGGTTCTGGGGATAATGGACATCAGCATGCAAATTAGTGGAACAAGTCTCCTCTCTCCAGTTACAGAAAGCAACTCAACATGTATTAAAGGCTTAAATTAAAGCTGAAGTGACTATGGAAAACATTCTAAGAAATTTCAAGGAGTAAGGGTTATTTTTAGACAATATACATAAATGTATGAAATAAGAACAAATGCAGAGAAAATAGTGTAAAGAACACTAAAAAAAAGGAAAATGGCAAACAGTGAATTAATAGATAGACTACATAGGACCCTCAAACAACTATGTAGAACAATCTGATTCTAATGTATTTTATTTATTTTTTTGAGAATTTCATACATATATACAATATCCGATGTATTTTGATATCTGTTCCTAGATTGCTACCTCAAACTCCTCCCTCAGTCTCCCTCCCATCTTCATGTCCTATTTTGGGGTGGTCACTGAGTCCAGTTGACATTTCTAGTATGTACATGGGTGTAGGATCAATCACTGAGACATTGACAACCTACCAGGAGCCACAACACAGAAGAAAACTGATTCTCCTTCCTCCAACCAACAACCACTCCCATAACTCCTCTGCTAGCAGTGGGTTTCAAATGCCCCTCCACCACCCAGACTATAATTTTGCCTGGCTTCTGGTCAGTCTTATGCAGGAAACTATAGACACTCGGAGTTGTGTGTGCAATGGCCTTTAAAGTCTAGAAAACACTGTTTTGTAGCAGTCCTCCCCAACCTCTGACTCTTGAAACTTTTCTGCATCCCCCTCTGCAATGGACCCTAAGGGTTAAAGAGAGGAGGTTGTGACACAGATGTCCTATTCAGTGTTGAGCATTCCACATCCCCTTTTTCTGCACATTCATAGTCGTAAGTGTGTATTAACTGTCATCTCCTGAAAAAATAGCCATTTTGATTAGGGCTAGGAACTTCATTAGTCAACTGATATAAAAATATTTAGAAGGGAGTTTGATACCATGGTCATTCAGCAAAATAATAGAAATATGTTTTCCTTTGGGGGGACTATGACCTACCCAGGTCTAGAGTGCCAGGCATGAGTTTTGTCATGTGGAATAACCTTAAGTTCCAAAAAGAGCAGCTGGTCACTGACATAACCTTCACAATTGTATTGTATTAATGGGGATATCTTGCCAATTGTATTGTTACTATTGTGGCAGTGTTCATGGTTGGGAAAAATTGTCAATAACTTTTTTCCCCAACAGCCTACATACAACCTATGGAAGCTAGCCAATGAGGAGGAAACTTTCAGGTCGATATCATCTTGATGTTTCTATGTCTTCTGTCCTAAATATGTGGTGGTTTAGTCTTACCATCAAGTTCTGGTGGGCAACCAAGAGCACCGTCAATAGCCTTATTATTTTGGGGAGAGTCCATGGGACCTCCTATACCACCATCTCAAAACAAAGGTACCTTATACCTGACAGTGAGCTTTTTGTTTGATAACCTATTCTCCACCCCAAATATAGGTTAACACTACTTAAATTTCACTCTGTGAGTTCGAGGCTAAGCTCCAAAATAATACAGATAAACCCTGTCTCATAAAACAAAAAAAATTTCACATATATATAAGTGGATTGATGATAGATAGATAGATAGATAGATAGATAGATAGATAGATAGATAGATAGATAGATAGATAGATAGATAGATAGATGTATATCCAAAGAAGCTTTAAAAATAGCAAATTTCTATATGGCTTTTTCAAATATCTTTACTGTTAATTATTCATCCATGTCCCTTCCCAAGAACAACAGACCTATTATAGGGTTTCCTCTTCTGTGGTAAAGTACCATGACCAAAGCATCTTATACAAGAAAGTGTTTAATTGAGCTTACAGTTTTGGAGGGTTGGAGTCCATGGTGGTTGAGGAAAGGCTTGTGGCAGGAACTCTCAGCTGCTCCTGATCACATCTTGATGCTCACATCTTTATCTACATGCGCAGGAGGCAGAGAAGGCACATTGAGAATTTTATGAGTCTTTGGAAACCTCAAAGCTTGCCCACAGTGACACACCTCCTCCAACAAGACTACATCTCTTAATCCTTCCCAAATAGCTCCACCAACTAGGAAACAAGTTTTCAAATATAAGCACCTATGGGACTCATTCTCATTCAGATCACAAGATGTAAATAAACATTTCTCAAAGAGTCTCACAAGAGGTCAGCAGGCACATTTTTTTAAAAATTGTTCAGTGTCATAAATGACCAGGGAAATGCAAATCAAAACCACACAGGATAGCGCTTCAGCTCAGTAATATTGGTTATTATAATATAGATCAAAGATAATAGATACTGACAAAAGTGAGCCTTCATATACAGTTGATGAGAATATAAAGGAGTACAGCCATAAAATAACAGTATAGAAGTTCCTACAAAAAATTTAAAAAGAAAACTATACTATGGTTCTTTAATTCCACCGTAGGCCACAGATCCAAAAGAAAGTACTTTGAAGATACATCTGTATTTATTGCATACTGCATAACTGTTCACAATAGCCAAGAGATGGAAACACTTTATAAATGGAAAAGGAAACCGTAGTATATGCATGTAATGGAATACTGCATAATACACAACCACGGAAAAGCTGAAGTCCCATTGTCTGAAATGAAAATAACAAGAGATCATTATGCCAAAACCAGGTAGAAAAAGACACACATCACATCATTTATTCATTCATAGGTAGAATATAAAATTTGATGTCACTGAAATTGAGAGAGTGCAATGAAATGTCCATGGAGAGTAGAAGCAGTCATGTGGGGAGGCTGACCAAGGGGTACAGAATCAGACTGAGGAATAAGAAGTTCAAATGTGCTACAGTACTGCATTACACAGTGACTTCGAGCTATGTGTGTTTGGAAAAAAGCAAAAACTTGTTATAAACGTTTCTGTCAGCAACAGATGATAGATGCTTGAGGGGATGTTTGCCTTGAAGTTAAAGCCGAACAATATATCCTTATATCAAACCACACATGGTGCCCCAATAGTATGAACAATTTCATATTTTATGTATTGGCTTAAAATAACTCACTTTAAACTAACAGGTGTGAAAGTAGAAAAGGACCTACCCTGTCATTGGTACAGCAAGGAGACTTCAACAAATTCTGATAAATGATTTACTTACATTAGCTCATTCTGAAAAGGATTTTGGCAATGTATTGAAATATGAGAATCAAGTAGAGTGGGACTTTGATTTTTTTTACATAATCCCTCTATTATTCCATGAAGAATGAAGAGTCACCACTGGAACTAAGATTTCAAACATTCGACCCACAACAGGGAGCCTAAGTGAGACAAAAGAGGCCTCTGAGAACTATGCCCGGGAACAGCCATGGAAACATACCAATGTAAGTTCCTCATATTCCACTGTCCCTACACAAATAGTGACTTCTATGTCTTTTATGTCTTAGAAACAACTAGAATGCATAATGCTGTCATTATCACTACTTTTCAAATATATGAGATCGATTCACACTGAAGAAATCAAATAGAAAAACCAATGCCAAGTAATCAGAGAAACACAAGTGAGTGGGGGGTGAGGAGAGACATTATGAGAAATACACAAACCTTTCACAAAATAGCATGAGGAGTTGATAGAATCTGTCGGCTGAAGAGCCATGAGAATGGAATAAGAAGTAGAAGTTCAACTATTTTAAACGCTGTTAGTAACAAAATGATTATACTTTTGACAGAGGGTATGATGACAAGGACCATTAACTACTAGATTGTAACCTATGAGAAAAACTACAGCAGAAAGATATGAGATAAGAGACTTTTGGATTTGACCTAGAAGTCTGGCATATAAGCAGTGAGAGAAGTAGATATAAATCCCTGTGAACCAAGTTCATTAGGATTTTTTTCTCTCCTAAGAGAGTGTTCAATGTATGTATGCAGGCAAATGATATGGTCATCAAAAACAAAAATAAGAATATAAAACAAGAGAAAGGGAAGTAAGCAAGGGTGACACACGGAGAAGGTATTCAAAGGAAATTAAACAACTGTACCTATTAGTAGAAAACAGGGTAGTGTGGCATCATCAAGAACAAAGAGACAAGAGTGTAGTGATACTAACACATTGAATGCCAAACAAAATAAAAAGGGGAAAATGCTTGAGAAAGGGAGAACTGGTTATTCATTAACAGACCAAATTGAACCCCTGAAGAAAGCATTTTTATTGGCTTTAGAAAGCAAAAGGGGGACAGTTTGAAAAACTCAGACCATTCATCTGAGGACGTCGGTGAAGAAACTGGTAATTCAGTGTGAGTAGAGCTGAAAGAGTGGCATAAAGCCGTGGAGAAACGCAGGTGACTCGAGGGGAGACGAAGACACAAAGAGGGAGGGCAGTAAGAACGGAACTGAAAAGAAATGGAATGATTGCTGAAGTGAGGCATAAAGAGGTCAGAAAGAATTCGACTGCCAAGCATAGGATCATCCCTCCAGTTGGGAGGCACAGTTCACTTCTGAAAAAGAACAAAAAGATGACTCACTTAAAAGAGACCCTGAGATATTTTAAGAAAGGAGGTAACTTCAAACTTAGTCCAAATGATCCCCCAGTGTTTGTGTGAATGGCATTCTTGGTGAATCAACTATGTCAAGAATAAATTATACACAGCAATCTTATGCTTCACTTGAATTTTTCATTTCCTTGGTTTTGCTTGAGTTCCGTGTTGTGTCTGGTGCTCTGTGTCTTTGCTCTGTTTGTGTTGGATTGAGAAATACAATGTACTTAAACTTTAAACTGAAAGATGGGAGTCACAGTGGTGAAGGGACAAAGTTGCAAGATTTGAGGGGATTACCAAGGGCTGTTCACAGAGTCCTGGGAGCTTAGGTCTTGTTTTGACCAAAAGAAACAATCCAGGATGGAGGGGAAATTTATGCTCATTGTCTCACTACAGACCTGACCTGCGTTTTTGGAAAGGCAAGTCAAAAATCCCCCAGATGGTGCTGTCTGGCACAGACAGTGAGAAAACTGCAGGAGGCTGGTAAGGAGGAAGGCAGACACAATCAACAGGACTGCCCCACACCAGGCCTGCTTCGCTCAGGGCCGGATTTCATTCCCGTGTGCTCAAAACTAGAAAGCTAAAGCTGTTTCACAGACCCCATGCAGCTGCTGCGTTCGCTGTGGCTGCCGCTCAGATACTCATACATGGAACTTCAATACAGGGTGGGATTAAATGCAGAGAGAGGAGATTTTGAGAGATAATGAGCTGGTGGCGATGAGAAGACATCTTGTGGCTCTCCCAACAGAGGGAAGACGATAAAATGTTCCTGGAGCCAAAAGATCTCCCTGGGACTAAACAGCAGAACTAGATGCTGACGCTGAGACAGACTGCTGTGTCCTTGGCAGGACAATTCTGGCATGTGGTTTGGGGCTCGTTACTGGAGACACAGTGTAAAGTCTCCGCCTCCAGCTGTTCCAGTGATTTAGCAAGCAATAAAATCCTTACATCCTATCCCTATCCCAAGGTAGCTGCTAGCTACTGAGACCAAACTCTGAGTAATACAAGAAGATAGATCAACAAACTACAGTCCTGGGCCCAAGATGACAGCCAGATTTTTGCAGCATGAGAACTAAGAACAGTTTTCAAGTAGTTACATTTTAAATGATTCTTTAAGTTAGGGTGGCCACATATTTCTATAAATGCACAATGCTACGTTAAAGAAATTTTAGATCCACCTGAGATGGCTCAGTGGTTAAGAGCATGTGACTGTTCTTCCAGAGGTCCAGAGTTCAATTCCCAGTACCCACATGCTGACTTACAATCATCTGTAATGAGATCTGATTCCTTTGCCTGGTGGTGGTGGCGCACGCCTTTAATCCCAGCACTCGGGAGGCAGAGGCAGGCGGATCTCTGTGAGTTCGAGGCTGGGCTGGACCGACAGCCTCCAAAACAATACAGAGGAATCCTGTCTCGTAAAAACCAAAAAAAAAAAAAAAAGAAATTTTAGATCAACAGCAAATAATTTCCATCTACAAGTGTATCCCAAATAGTATATGAGAGGTCTGTGTGTGTGTCTATATGTGTGTGTGTCTGTGAGTGTGTGTGTGTCTATGTCTGTCGATGTGTCTATATCTGTGTGCCTGAGTCTGTGTATCTGTGTGTGTGTGTGTGTGTGTGTTAAACAAAACTTTATTGGCCAACCACAATATAAACATACCCTTAATAAAAACTTTTCATCTGGGTCTGAAAAGACTACAATCTTTCCTATCTGACCCTTCCAGAGGAAAGTTTGTTAAGCCCCGCAGTAAGCCACTTCTCTGCAACACAGAGCCCTATAGTCCTGAGCCACTGAATCCATTCCCTCAACTCAAGCAATAATTCGTGAGTTAACATACCCTATGTGGGGTTGGGGAGAATGCAGGTCATGTGTTCCTGGTGCTTTCTTGGAGACTGGAGAACTGAGATGGCCAGATCAGCTGAAGGAGACACCTTGGTAAAAGGAGCTTCACTTCACCCAGAGAGCTGGACAGCTGCAGTCTCGGAAACAGAACTCATAACAGAAACCATGAGCCAAAGGAAAGGGGGAGAGGCCCACCTCCTAAGGATGTAGCAGGGCTCAATTCTGAAGAAGCCAGAAGCAAAGGTATCAAGGAGTTATATTACCATCCTCGGCCCTAATCCCACCCCTCTTTTTCTGTCATGGATCAATGCAAACCATAGTTCAGTTTCAGGCTCCTCAGGCCAGAGTTTTGTCCCATCTGGGTCGAGAGGACTTCAGATCGCAGCAGTTCTTGTGACATAATGCCTCACTAGGGCAGCTGATTCTAAATCACAGTGTTTCCAGCACTCTGCTCTGGTGCTCTGCCCCCCACCCCGGACTCGGTAATGCCCTCATCATTCAGAGGACTCATCCACAGAAGTTTGCTCCAGTCTAGCCGGGTCCCTTCTCTAAGTGACGGCAAGCATATCAAGCTGACTCCTCTAACAAAACTGGACATGAGGATGTTCACTAAGTTGAAAGAATGAGCTACAACTGAGTTAGGGGAAGGCCGCCCCCCCCATCAGCTCCGGGGAAAGCCCACCCACCCCTATCAGCTCCTCTCCCCTAAATCTCTGCCTATGTCTAGGTATGCTGTGGTACCTCTGCTGGGCCTTTGTTTGGGGGTTTGGGACTCCTTGAATAGGTAATGGGTACTCACTACCATCCTGGTGAAAACTTTCTTGGAACTGACCCATGACATGAGAATTTTCTGCATTCCCTCCTTTTACACGGGTATCAAAACTGAGCAAGAGCCTTCAGCTTTTCTGCCTACTTGAGCTCCTTATATCTCATAGGTGTCTGCAATCTTGTTTTTCCTTTTTCTAATTTAAATTAGAAACAAGCTTGTTTTACATGTCTATTCCAGTTCCTTCTCCCTCCCCTCCTCCCCTGCCCCCCACCAGCCCCCATCCCATCCCTTTTCTGCTCCCCAGGATGGGGGAGGCCTTCCATGGGGGATCTTCAAAGTCTGTCATATCATTTGGAGCAGGGCCTAGACCTTCCCCCATGTGTCTAGGCTGAGAGACCCTCTATGTGGGTTGGGCTCCCAAAGTCCATTAGTGAACTCGGGATAAATACTGATCCACTACACTGACTCTTGACTTGAGAGATGCTTCTACAATGCAATAAGACAGGAGTAGATGGTGTGGTCCAGGTAAGAGATGACCCCCAACCTGAAGGAGGATGTTAGCAGTAGACATGGACAAGAGGTGGGTCACCCAGGTCTTAATGTATCTCGTACTGTATGATACAAGAAAACAGAAATTGTAAGTTATGTCAAATGGCATTGAAGTGAAACCTCTGAATGCAAGTATTGTATGCAGCAAGGCTCCTTTTGAGACTCTGAAGTCAGCGTTTCTGCAGTATTTAAATCATGATCTCAATGCGTAGAGAGAATTTGCATAGCGATAAGAAGCAGCCATATATCTGAATACATTACTCTCTCTGCCCTTCCCTATTCGGTGTATGTTCTCTCTCCTTGACAGATTTCATCTGCCATTTAGACAAGTTTAAATAGTTTCACAGGACTCCTCTCCCTCGCAGCAGCACTGAGGATGGCAGTTCATCCTGGTTTCAGCCACTTAGCTTGTAGACACCGTGTATTCACAGCTATCCCACCACACCAGCCTTGCCTGCCTCGGTCTACTCTCTGCTTGACCTGAGAATGTTGGAGTGACCCTGACCTATCCTCCCCCTTTTACACTTGTTCTCAATTCCTAGCTTATCTCATCCAACCCTGGAACTTCAAACACTGTTTAATATGCCTGTAACTCCCATTTTTTTATAGGAAACCATGATTTTTCCCAGTGTTCCAAGCTTGCTGTCCAACCGCCCACTCAGTAAACCCGTCTGAATATCTAACAGGCATTTCCAACTTAAAACAGCCAATATGAACTTTTGATTTCACACCGACATTTCCCCAGCTGCCCCCACAATTCCTCAGTCAACCTCATGCAGGAACAAGCAAGCCATCCCCACTAAGCCAGTGTCTTCCAATCCATTGCTATTTTCCTTCCTACACTCACGATGTGTCAAACATGAAACATGGCCTGACATACCTTGTCAGGCCTGGCCTCTCACATCACTTCCTGTTCCTTTTAGTATCCTACTTCTTTGTTATGGAACTTCTCATTATGTGACTGCTGTGTTTATATGCATACATACCTTTGGTTTGTTTGGTTTTTTTTTAAGTTAGCTGTCTGTTTACAGCTATTTCTCCTGTGCTACAACTGTTGCCTGACCCTAATTAGCATCAAAAACTACCTGTTAGCATCAAAACTACCAAACAAAATGAATGAATGAAGTGAAAGAGTGACCCGATTTCATCTCTTGAGGATTTATACTCTTACTCAATGCTTCTGCATATGGAAGTGTTCACGAATGGAGTCTTGGGTCATTTAAGCTCTCATTCCAACAGCCACAATTTTCACTAACATTTTTAAATCCCATTTGTTTATAGCTTTAACTCATAGGCATTATCTGAACACTGACTGTGTGAACAGACACATCCCAGTTTTTGGAATTCCTAAATACTTACCAGAAGGCATCATCTCCCAGCCAGCAATCAGCTCATTTCCAATAAAATTCAAATTCAGAAAAAAAAAAGTTGGACATGTTCTTTTCCTTTGCATTGCTATTAGTTTTATTCTTAGATGAATCATCTCCCCTGTATTGGTGTAATGGATAATTGGACCATTCCTAACCCTACAATGTAGGACTTGGCAAGTCATCATTGTTTTTCAACCAGGAAAACATGCATCAGTTATCTCTTTTTAGTTCCACCCAGAAGTTCATAAGTTATAACCTTTGAAGACCTTCCTCTTGCCTGTGTGTTTAGTGGACGCCAGTGCAGATTCCACCTTCAACAGCAAAATCGCTTTCTTAATGCTCTGAGAGGTCAAGCCTAACAGTTATGCCATGGATGATTGTTCCAAGGATATTTTAAAGTAAAGAAACCTGGAAGCAGTTCGTAGAAAGGTCAGCATGGGTTCCTGGCAAATGGCTTTCCTGAGATCACTTTTCATTCCATACTTATGGGGCTTTCTGAGGGAAATGATCTTTACCACCAAACTGTCAGGAAATCACAGCACTTCATGAGAAAGGGAACCAGACCTATAATCTTTCAAGTCCATGGTTATTATCTACAAAGTGAGCAACTGCATGAAAGGAAGCCTCCTTACTTTTCAAAAAGTCTGTTTCCCAGCCAGCAATCAGCTGGTTTCCAATGAACACGTCTTAAAGAATCTGCAGTTCAGTGGTTGACACAGAAAGCATTTTTCCTTTGGTTTCAGCAAAAAATGATGGATGCCACTGCATCTGAGCAACTGAGAACTAATTAATTAGCAAGGTCTAACGGTCTAATCACTCTTAAGCAAAATACACTAAACAAAAAGAAAATATGTGTTCGGGTGGTTTTTCCATCTCCTCTCTGGGGGACTGGAAGGCCACCCCAGAGCGTTGCATTCATTAAACGTGGGCCTTTTCTAATTCGGTTTAATTTGGTCTGATTTGGAATGCTGTATTGGCAAAGAGGCTTATCCGGGTGTAGAAACTTTTCATCTTGAGGTTCCACCGAGGGGGCTGTTTTTTCCCCACTGGCCCAGGGCCATGTGGTGGGAAGACACCCTTCTTCCCCAAACTGCTCTCCACCAGGCTTGGATAGGCTTTCGAATGGGTAAGTTGTCCTTACCCAGTCATTGCCTTAGAGGCCCAGGGCCTCCTGCGATTTTCAGGGTGTCCTGCGAAAGACACTGCCGTGCCAGGCCCCCAGACCTGTTACTGGGACAAGGACCTGCCTTCCAGTGAGGACCCTTCTTCAGAAAAGACTCTGTCCAAGGGATTCTCCCCCACCCTCTGGTTTTGACCCATGCCCTACCTCAGGGGATGCATTGCCTTAGGCTTTGGGTTCTGGCATAGGCTTGTGAAATGGGCCCCTGCCATTCGAAGCCAAGGTCCCCAAATGCCCTTGGGCTGCCTTTTTCAAAATCGTTTAAATTGGGGCTGTCTGACACCATATGTCCTCAACCCCTGATTTCTTGACAATGGCATGCGATGGCCACTGGAGGGAATTTTTGATTTTACCATCCTCTGAAATTTTTGCTGGCGTGGGCACCAGTGAACAGAACCCATATGCCCACCATTTCTGCACACTGCGCCCCCGCCCTCCCCTCAGTAGCCAGTGTCTCACAGCACTGGTCTTGTTGGCGAGGTCATAGCGCCTCCAGATTCCCGCCAGTCTGGGAACTGGGACCCTGAAAACTCCGCCTGACCTTGCTGCCTGAGACACTGGCCCCTTACCCACCCCCTAACCCTGCCTGTCTAACCCCCTCCTACGGGGCCACTTGTTTCATTCAGTACCAGATATTAAAAAGCAATTAAAGGCTGAGGAGGGTCCCAAACACTCATACAAGAATTGGTTTAAAACGTCTTTTAAAGTTTTCAGTGCCTGAGAGGAGGCAGCCAGAGTCCTCCCAACAGACAAGTCCAAGCCCAAGCCTTAGCAGCTGCCCTGAGGTCACAAGGGGTACAAGGGAAGTCGACCACCATGAGACTCCATCCTGCTGGAGCTCAACCAAAGTCAACTCCACCAGGAGCCTGCAACAAATTCGGGCAGGATGGTCATTTGGCAAGATACTGCCTGGACATTCACCCGCCAATGACGCCCATGCTCCATCTGCCTTCAGCCTGGACACTGGAATTCAGAGTTGCCTCCGTGCGAGCTGGTCCTCTATGCCAAACCAAAGAGGTCCAGCCTCACCAACACCGGCAGCTGAGACTGTGCCAGCCTTCGAACTACTCAGCCTGGCAGAGGTCTGACTCAGCCCAGACTTGGTGACTCCCATTGCCCTCTCCGAGCCTAGGGTAACACTGCGGATAGCAGTAAGTCCACTACTTTTCTTTTGGGCACGGGAGTTACCTACTCTGTTTTGACCTCTCACTCGGGTCCCACAGTTCCCTCTCCAATTCCTGTCCCTCCCATTTCAGTAAAACCTGGGACTGCCTTAGCTGAAAAAGCTGTCTCACTTCTGCTCATCGACTTACCCCTCAGATCTGATGGCGTTTGATGGCTGGGGTACGGATAGCTCCTTAGTTCATTAAGTTTCCTGCTAAAAGTACAGACAGGTGTGCCCCTTTACAGGCTTCACAGTCAGGGATCAACAGGTTTCAGATGTAACTTTGCAGGTTCAGAGTTTTTCACTTCCTGATTGTCTTCTAAAATGTCCGTGCCTTTAACCTAAATTCATAGCCTTTTGCTAGGACACCAAGATGTAAATCTTGTTCCAGCTGTCTTACTGATACCTGCAATTTCCTGGGAGAAGTTCTTCTAGATCAAGAAATCTGGTCTGATAAAAACAGTCTCCAGAGCCCATTTTTACTCCACCCATTTTTGAGAATATCTTACAGGTTCACTCCTTCCTGGGCCAAGGCCAACCCACAGAGGGGCCTCCAGATAACGCCTGTACCAGCTCCTGGGAATTCACCATCGGCACCACCTCTCCAGGCTCCACCTCTTCAGGTCTGTCCAGCAGCTGGCACCCTCTACCCTCCAGTTTTCCAAGATGTCCCAATGAAAGACCCATCTGCTCTCCTGTCTCATTCATTCATTCACCCTCGCCTCTTCTATACTCCCAGGACACTTCTCCATTCCCTTCATTCTGGTAGTCATCACCCTTCCATGACTAGCCCCATTCATAGGGACAACAACAACAATCTATTTTTTCTCCTAGCAGCCTGCCTTCTGGGCCTCCTCAAGGAACAGGTGCCTGAGATCTACAGGATGGCAGCTAACTGAATGCATCTTCACGCACCTTCCACCGAGCGTACACCACCGACTCCTGACTCTCCCCCTCCTCGACATCGTCACTTGTCAGCAGGAAGAACCAGATATATACCCAAAGAGTCTGGGATGTTATGGTGGAGGTTCCACCCAATCCCCCTCCCCCATCTCCCTCCAAACCCTACTGCATCTCAGAAAGCCCTCCAAATGGTGGCCCCTCCCCAGAGATGCTCAAGCCCATTCCTACAGGGTATTTAAACTATCCCCCAGAGAACAGACTCCTGGTTTTTCCAGTCTCCCTTTCCTGTCTCCTCTCTGGTGGGCTGAAAGGAGACCCAGAAGTGCTGTATCCATTAGACATGGGCTTTTCCAAAAAAAAAAAAAGAATTTGTGTTCATAAAAACAGTGTCTCCCATTCATCTCCTGCTGCTAAGGAATATCAACACCCTTAAAGTAAATGTAGCCTAATACTGCAAAGACCAAATAAATTTCAAAGTAATTGAATTCAACAAGATGAAATTAAAATTTTCTTTCTAAAATTTGTATATACACTTTCAACAATATTGTATTTCAGTTACTATCAAAATTCTACAAAATATGGACTATGTCATTAAAGAGGATGAGTATCATGATTTAAGGCAATAACTGAGGTTATTTATTTTTAATTGTATGCATTAAATTGTATGCATTTATAGTCTTGCATGTACAGTGTTTACTGACCTATGGTTTCCATGAAATTATTACTTTTTCTTTCCTGTGGCAGTATCTTATTAAACTTGACCATGTATTCCTTTCTTCATTCAATAGTCACTTATTGAGCTCCTACTACCTAATTAGTATGCTGGAAGCTAAAATTGCACCAGGAATCATAGTAAATGTTCTTAAGAATTCAGAGCCTAGTTGTTGAATTTTATTCTGGAACTCTTAGAGTTGAGCATCTGTGCCAGGCCTTTTATTTTGGGCCACCAGCTAGCTTCCAAATCATGACACAGAGACTTGTTAGTTCTGAATGCTCAGACTCAGCTTAGCTCTTTCTGGCTAGCTTTTTAACTCAAATTAACTTGTTTCTCTTCAACCTCTTTATGCCTTAGTGTTTTTTTTTTCTTTCTGTATATCTGCTTCTGACTGACTGGCTGGTGGCTGCTGCCTGGCTTCTGGCCCCAGATGCCTCCCTTGTTCTTTCCTCTTTCATTCTTCTCTTCTCTTCTTGAGCCTAGTTTTCTCCTCCTATTATTCTCTCTGCCTGGCAGCCCTGCCTAGCCCTCTCTTGCCTAGTGATTGGCTGTTCAGCTTTTTATTAAAGCAATCAGGTGCCTTAGGCAGGCAAGGGAAACAGATGCAACACATCTTTACATAATTAAACACTCAGTCTTACATCTTAAACAAAAACAACACACTTTTACATAGCTAAAGTTATATTCTGAAGTATAAGTAAATGTAACACATCTTTGTCCAGTTAATATAGTATTCAACAACAAGCATCTTTGAGGAATAGTTTAGTGAAACACACACACTGGGTTAATTATTTATTGACCTGCTTGTTTCCCCCCCACCAGACTGGCAATTTCTGAGGACATAAATCATACAGTAGTTCTGCTGCTTCCCTATTTTTTAATCACACTGTCAGGTATATGGTAAGTACTCAGTAAATACAGACCACAGATGACATCAATTCTAAATGCCTAGAGAATATATTAGACCCAGTTCCTCCCCCCACCAGATTCCTGCCTTGAATTCCTGCCTTGACTTCCCTTCACAGTGAACTATAACCTGTAAGAAAAATAAACCATTTCCTCCCCAATCTGCCTTTGGTCATGGTGTTTTATCACAGCATCAGAAAGCAAACTAGTATACCTCCTAAACTTAATTTTCTACAAACCAGTAAGATAGTCTATTGAAATGCAAATTACATCACTCTTCTTCTCAGAACCTCTCTGTGTCTTCCTATAATTACAAATCCATCATCGCCAACAAAGTTCATGGCATCTGGCATGACCTACAAGATCCAATGTCATCCAAACTATTTTCCACTGACACTCTGTTTACTTACTCTACTTCCTTAATATCTGTAGCCTCCTAGCTATACATAGACTACACAGTATGCCCATGTGTGAGTATTTGCATTTAGATCTTTTCTACCAGTAACACATTTTTCTGGTTATTTCCCTAAAGAAAAGAATAATATATCAGATCAATTTAAAAGGCCAAAATTAACTATACTTCTCCTAGCGACATCTAGCTGCTGCCAAAGAATTCTAGATTTAACTGTAATTCCCCAAGGTCAGTCTCAAATAAATTGAAAATGTTCAGTGGAGTTACAGCTTGATTTAGTCTAGAATCTCACAATATATCAGACTTACTGGAATATCTGTTCATTTAGGTTTGTAGAAATATGCCAATACATATGTTACAGATTTTCTAGGACTAGATAGTTGTCAGTTGGATACAAACTTAATGAGAAGTTCAAATCTTCAAATCTTCAGCCAGTCATAGTGCAGGAAACATCATTTGTATATCTTGTAACCAGATGCTTATTGAGTACTTAGCATGCTCTAGAACAGCAACTGAAACCCACAGTAGGTTCTGTACTCTGTCTGTACTTTGTAAATTCCACCAGAAATCTGCCTTGTATTTAAAAAGTGGCCTACTGGACCTCATAGCACAGGAGGCCAAAGTAAGTGGCCATGCAGCTACTCTAGTTCTTCTCTTCTGATAGAGCAGTAACTTAACTGGGACCCAGGCAAGAGACTGCCTCTAGACCAATTGAGTCAATGAAAGTGACCAATAGCAGGTTAGGCTATCCCCTATATAGCTAAGAACACCCCCCACAAGAAGAAATAAAGCCTGCTCACCCTCCAGCATGATGGCAAAGGGCAAATAAAAACATGCTCATTACTGGAAAGTTTTCAAGAAGAAATCATTGAAAAATATCTTACTCTTACCACAAAATTCTTCATATTATTTCATGGAGGCCTTCATTCGGATTCCTTTCATGGCACTAGAACAGAAGAAGAGAGAAAGCTTTAAGGTTATTGCCTCTAATATTCATACACTATTGACACAAGAGAGTATTCTTCCCAGCAGACCAAGCCTGGTGATGGTCCAAGTTGACTGAAGTATGGCCATGTTGACATGAGCACATTCATGAGCATGCTCTACCTTTTTCCCTGCCTGTTCTTTTCCTGTGAATTTCATTGTACTTTCACTGTAAAACAAGCCACGTATTTGCTGCTGTCATAACTTACCTCTATGGTTATAGTTCCATTAGGAAGATGGTGTTTATCAACATAAATGTATCCCTGTATTTATACATGAGCCAGTGATCATACCTCGCTGTTAAGAAAGAACAAATCATTATCTCTGTTTCAGACATATGTTTCACCTTTCCCCCCTACTGTTTACTCTCTAGCCATGATGCTACCTGTCCTGTCCATGCCTTCTACTCAATACTTCCTCCATTTCTGCATGAAAATGGTCTATGGTTAACAATGAATGCACATGTCTAAATCAGGAATAGAGTGATTTGTGTGATTTGATATGCAGCAGCATTGGGTTTTTTGCTTTTTGTCTTCCTTTCTGCTCTTGTTCTTTCAAATGTTTTGTACATATATTTGAAACAAAATATACAAAACATTCAGGTGTTTTACTGCCTTGAAGCTCATAGCAATTGCTCTCAAAGAAAGTAGTCCCAAGGGTATTCACTATATTATTCATCACATCAAATAAATGTGGATGTTCTGCCATGATTACCTTTGAAATTTTTATCACTGAAGACCTAATGTGTAGTAATATAGACATTACAGAATCTTAACTAGGTTAACCAAATATTCAAAGCTTATGCAAAGCTTCAGAATATATATACTAGTATTTCCTATTTTAAAAAAAACAAGTTTCCTAGAAATCCACGGTCTTTAAAGAGCTTCACAAAAGTCTGAAATTCTTCTCCCCCAGACTTTACTGGAGTCTCCCCTACCTCAAGCAAATAGGGTTGACATGCACTCAGTACAGAAAACCTTGCTCTACCTATATTCTTTGTAAACCCATAGATAACTCAGACTGGATTCAGCCCTAGCAAGAGTTAATTCATATGTAAAAGTATAAAAGTAGTAACATAGAGGAAGAACTCATGTGAGATGCTTGTTGTAACTTTTTAACATTTTCTTCTCAAAAAACATCACTTTCTTCTGTTATTAAAATTGTTTTTGAAAACAACCAGGAGCACTTCATAAGATTACAAAGTTCTTCCCTGCCTTTTGCATCAGAAAATGTTAATACTCATGTCATTCATTTGGGTTCAATATTTAATCTCAGAAACACACTGACAACACATAGAACATGGTCAAAAATGTTTAC